AGCGCACGTCTACATTACGCACAGCGATTCAAGATAACAGAAATGATGATCAGCGGATGATCGCTCTCGTCGAGGGCGAAGAACAGAGGGCGTTATCTCGAGGGAGAAGGTAGGGCGAGGGGTGCGGGAAGGGGCGTAGGAAAAATTTACCCTGTGAGCCGGGGCGGCGCGGGAGCTCGCACCAGTAGTAGATCGCGGTGCCGTCGGGCGTGACTCGGTGAGGGGGCAGGGGGTTACCCGCGAAGCTGCCGGAGAGCGCCCTACGACGTCGTCTTCGGGGCAACGTGGCGCACTGTCGACGCGACAACGCGACCTCGCCGTTCGCGCGGTGCGTCACGTGATGATGGGCGTTCGCGTTTTTGTCTCTGATCTCATCGTTCTTGTTCTTGTTCTGCCCGTAGGTGTAGTCCTCGTGATCGGAACCGGCGCTACGCAGACGGCGACGGCCGTCGGACCGTCTCACCCTGAGCAGCTCGTCGTCGCTGAGCCGTCGGCGCTCCTCCTCGTCGTTCTCCAGACCGTTATGATGATTGTACAGATGCCCGGCGCTGTACGGACGTCGTTTCCGGTTATTGTCCTCCGTAGCGGTCGCCACGCCGTAGCCCAGCGGCAGTTCCTCCTTGCCGTGCACCAATATCGCGCCCGAGTCTAACTTCTGCCGGACGTAGTCGTCCGTCAGGCACCGGCCGGCCGGCACTAAGATCTCGCTGCCCACCTCTATGTGTTGGTGCTGGTGGTTCTGCTGATGATTGTTCTGCTGGTGATTGTGGAAACCTGCCGCGAGAACCACGTCGTCATTTAGACGGCGATTGCACCCGTGTCGCGACTACAAACGATCGTGCTCCCGGTCTCTTTTCGCGCTTTGTTTACTCCGTGCGTTTATTTAAAGCCAATTCCTCGTTTTCCTTCAATGCTACTTTACATCGAAAATTACATCGATAATAATAATAATAATAATAATAATAATATATAAGATAGTCTTTGGCTTAACTTTAATTACTTAGCAAGACAAATTGAACGTCTTTTCGTTTCCCGTTTCCCCGTTCGTCTTAACAACGTACACGTCAAAGCTTATCTCAAGGACACGGAACACGATGGACATACTTGATAATTCAGGAAGAAGCTAACATGAACATAGAGTTTCTTCTTCACAGAAGCGAGAGCGTCGGTCAGAGCAGAGACAGGAGAGACTGATCGGACTGATCGTTTTCAGCGCGAACGAGCACACTCACCGTGTGTCTCGCGATAGATCGCCTCCTTGAGTATCGGCGAGTTCTCATTCGTTCCGGGCCGTTCCCGGGCATTACGTTGTTGTTGTTGCTTCTTGTGGACGGGGTGCTGGCGAGTCGACGGCAGATGAGACGATCTTCGTCGACGGAACGCGCAGGGACTCCTGGTTTCCCGTGAGCCCCGGCCGCCCCAGCTGCTATCCTGCTGTACATCGGCTACAAAGGAAAGAGCCAGCATGGCACGTGCCAGCGATTAGAGACAACAAAAAATTCTCACGTTCGTTTTCATTTTCATTAGCTTTCTGTCATCTTTCGCAATTCAGACGCGATTACATTCGAACCGGAAGTTTAAGAGTGTGATGGCTAGTATTGGTGGTGGTGATGGTGGTGGTGATGGTGGTGGTGGTGGTGATAGTGATTAGTGGTGGTTGCTGGTGTCGATGACCCGAATCTATTCTTTTCTCTTGTATTTCTATCTCTCTCGCTATCTCATCTAATCTTAATACACCTAGTGCTAGTGCTGCGCCAGGCTTGCTTGAAAGATCGCAGACTTCGAACACCGATCGATCTAAGGAGACATTCAGAAAACATAGAAAAACTTTTTGCTACTTGGTACACTAAGTCGCACCGTTTAATTGGCAGAAAGATCGATACGAAGAATTCCGCCGAGTCACGAATCTGTAGAAAAAGTCTTTTTTTAAACGAATACATGCGTTCACTTTCTATTCGCGCTCTAATGTAATTAACGGCTCACACTCTCGAAAGTGTTTAGGTGTCTATCAGCCTCAACTCTATACAGAGGTACTATTGAGAAGAAGTATATTGCCGAGAGGAGAAGGCGTCTGTATGCCTGATAACATCAAGACAATTGTGCAGTTACACAGATACAACACAGGAGCATGCACAGACCGAGAGTGGATGCGAACGAAATACATCGAGAAGAGAAAGATAGTAAAACGCCGTGTCCATATCCCGTAGATAACGCTAACTATCATAACGCTTTTTATCACAAATGTGCAGCGTCTGAATTCTGCGATCGGCTCGCAATAACGATCGTCGTCCGTCGTCGCTTTCAACGCTAAATGCAGGATATGAATACCACAGTCGAATCTTACTCTCTAAGACTGCCTTAAGTTAATTGTCTTAAGAGATTGTCAACCAATCACAGAACTGTATTAGCATCTTAAGATATTACTTAAGACGGTCTTAAAATAAGAATCAATTATGAATATCGGCCTAAGAGTGTGAAACTAAAAATCTAAGTAAGAGTAGCAAAATCCGTTCTCGATTTCGTCGACGTCGCGCCGCTGATAATTACCATCTCGAACGTCACCGGCTTCGATCTCGCTGAGACCGTTCGCCATGGAATCGAGACCCTCGTTCTCCGAACGCGCCTTGGTGGCCACCGTGTCCGGCTTCGTTCTCCAGCCGCCGCGCACGAAGTTGTTCAGGTTCGCGCTAGGATCGGACAGCCTCCGCTGATGGCGGTACATGAAGAGCTCCTCGGCGTCGTCCCAGTCGGCGTCCCATAAATCCGTCGCGCAGTAACCAGGCTCCGACGTCGGGGTCTCCGCACCGGAACCCTTCGGCTTTGTGACGGCCATCTCCGCGTGTCCTTTGCCTAAATCGCAATTAGACACTCCATTCGCAAATAGAACTTTTATCCTGATTTTTGTATTTCTTATCGTTTTAATAAATAAATAAATAAATATATATATATATACATATATCTACGTTGCTTTGTGTTTTGCTTTGCGCTTACCTTTTAGATTATTTTCATAACTAGTTATCCCTTTTTACATATGTATTATTTATATCAGTCATAGATGTATTATTGTTAAAATTACATAAAATAAATTAATTAAGTAAAGTCGATCGAAAGAAATAGTATTATCGATGAAATATACGTACCACGTGGTCCCTTCATTCGCACGAACTCTATTCTTTGCGAGGCCGCGCCGGAAAAGAGGCCGAACGTCATTCGCTGTGCCATTTTGGTGCTCAGGCTCGACTGGAGATAAAAACAGCCAAGTAATTTCACGCGCTCAAGTTTAATAACGATCCGAAAGAGCAACGGTAACTCACCCTCGCGTCGTAAACCTTTTTCAGTGCGTCGTATCTGATCGAGCCAAGAAAAATGACGCCCTGGATCGCACCCTCCCGATCGGAGGCGACCAGTTCCACGCACACCATCTCCCCGTCTCTGACTAAAATATCACAGAAAACTTCGTCGAAATTGTCCACCATGAAGCAAATATGCGGGTACGTCATTTCCTCGAGATCACCCTTGGCATCCATACGCCGTCGACTCGGACTGGCGTAGACTTTCTGAGAATGCCTTCGCAATACCTAAAAAATTTTTAGCTCTGTAATAGACACAGTTGTGAAATAAATAATGTAAAATTATAAGAAAGATAATGTTATGCCAAGATTTTAATAAGGAAGAATCGCTAAAAAAAATATTTCTCTATCTAATTAGAATTTTAAATGCTATAGTTAAAATGTATCGTTGTGTTTTATATCTGCTAGAAAGTTGTTTGTCGTACGTAGAGTTTATAGCAGCAACATTCTAATATGTGCAGGAAAATTTAGATCTTAATCAAATCGCAATCACTTTTACAAGAGATGTGGTTATTGTCTAATTGGATGTGACAGAGAGATTTTTTTTATTAAATTTGACAAAGTTTGATTATAAATTCTGTTTCTATCATCTATATTTGATATTACATACAAAACATATCGCAATGTTTATTAATTTTATCCATTTTATCTATTTTAAATAATCTTTCGGCTGTGTTCAAAGGCGCTATTGCATCATTTTATCTTTATCGCTCATTAGACATAAATCAAGGGTAGAATGACGTGATGGCGCTGATAGCAGTTCTCCGAAGCAGTCTTTGTATCTAGATAATTTTCGCTATGACTACAAGATTATTTCTTTCAGTGACTGACTTGAAAATAAGAGGGAAATATAATTGATCTGACATATCCCGTACAGAGTGTCTTAAGAGAAAAGGCTAATATTCTGGAAGATTGTAATATCGATCATTTTAAGAAAAAAAGTTTATACAAACTTACGTCATATTCCGAACGATTTTCAAAATAGAATTGAAAATTATTATAAATTATTATAAAAGTTCCATCTTGGAAATTGCTCGAGGTAGAATATGTGTTTATACATATAAATTTTTTTTTCTTAGAATAACTAATACTATAACAGTCAGGATATTTCCCCTTTCCTCCTAAGGCACTCTCTAGAGTATTTCTCTACTCTATAAGGCTTCTTTAGCTCTATAATTCGAGCGAGACGATTCTTACTTGCAATTCCTTAGGGCTCGTTCTTGTGCAGATCGCCAACGTGAGCGTGTAGTCGAACTGGTGCACGACGAGATTCAGGTACACGGTTTCCTCCCAATCGATGTCGGGATCGCCGATCGGCAGTTTCTTGCTGTCTTTGCGGAACACATCGACCTCGGTCTCGAACTTAGGTAGATACCTCGACGAGGTCTTCACATGCTTTTTGCGGACGAAGAAGAGCAGATCGTCGCCGTCGATGGTGTGCTCCGCTTGAAAGAGGAAGTGACGGACAAACAGGTCCGTCCAGTACGTTGTGCCTTGCAGTACGACGAATCCGGAGTCTGGCAAAGACAAAAAGATTTGATTGGGTTTAAAAAAACGACGATTTCGAAGTCAAAAATCGAAAAATGCGGTTTTAATTTTTCAAGGACGCGACATGTTCGGTTAATACCGAATTCACCCCTGATCGATTCGACGATACGCGGGAAAGGGTATCGGAAAGAGGGAGACACAATAATGAACGTAAGAGGCGGGAAATATCAGGTAATCGATACCTGTTATGTCGCGATTATTGACGAAGAAGGTTCGCTTAAGAAAGCGAACTGAATTATTGATGTGTTTTTAAGATCTTCCATTCTTTTTTGTTTCATTTTAATTATATAACAATATCTTGATTATTAATTATATTTAATATTTAAATGAATTTAATTGTTAAGTGTAGTGTTTAAATCAATCAGTATTTCTTTTTATTTAGGTATTTTTTAAAACTCAAATAAAATTGAAATAAAATTGAAAAAAATTTTATATTCATCAAACAAACGATAAAGATTGTATAATTAATAAAAAATAAAAAGTGTAAATTAAGTCGAGAGTAATTAAAAATGTTCTAATATGTTATAGTTGCATTATATTTATGTAATAATAAAATTTATATTTCTAACATAAATATGAAAATAACATAAAGATAAGAAATATAGAGAATATACCGATGAATATAATTATAAACTTGATCGATGCATCATCCTGCATCTCTCTGTTTCTCTGACTAATGAAATACTACTAATTAAAGCGCTCATGACAACACTGATTAACTTCTGTTATTAATAAACATTCAAATATGTTGTTTAAAGGCAATCTTCGTTATTGGAGATTATTTCGAAAGATAAAACTATTGTGTAGCATTAAATAATTCCCTTAGGAAGAAATAATTAAACAGAATTTTCAAATTTTCCATCATCGCTAAAAATTATTTTTAAATCGTTTTCTTTATGTTATTTGATAAATTTTGAAAATTCAAAACATTAAAATAACTGTCAGGAAGCAAAATTTAAGTTTAAATCCATCTTTATACATTCTCAAAGAATTTTAAAATTTATAAAAATAAAATATAACAAGCATTTCGGATTATCAACAATAAAGCAACAGAAAAATTATAATTTAATTATTATTGTAAAATAATAAAAGAAAGAAAGAAATAAGAAGGCTACGTTCAAAATATATTTTTACCAACCGACATGGTTCTACATTTCCCCTCGACGGTCAGACAACCCCTTCGAAAACGAACCCTTTACGTTACACGATTCGTTCGGTCGGCGCACACCCTAAATCACCCCGTGTGTGTTTTCATCCCCTCGTACACATACACATACCCACACACATACATTGTTACCCCTCTAACGATATAAACACGCCGAACCGCTTCAATGCCACCCTTCGGTAGTCAATAAATATACGAACCATCCTTGAGCATCTGCCTAAGCTCTTTCGTTCTCTGGAAGTTGATCTCCTCGAGCAGTTGCTCCAGCATCGTGGGAGCCCGGGTTAGGCCCGCCGACGACGAGCTGCTCGCCAGGCTCGCCATGGCCGACGACGAGAGCCGCCCGTTCTGGCCTCAGCCTCAGCTCTTGGGAGCTCGTTCCCCCGTTTCCTCTCGCGCTTGTCAGCCGTCAGCGTTTTCCACCTGTACGCGTCTACGTTCGCGAATGTGAAATGTCCTTGGCCCCGTCGAGTCAGAAGCGGCGTACGCCGCTACGCCTCTCGGGGAACCGGCGGCGGAGGCGGCGGCGGAGGTGGAGGCGGCGCGCTTGGAGAACCACCGCACCGGCGATGACAATGTCGGACGGCGGGCGATGACGAAGGGGGGGCCTCACGACGTTCCCATTTCGAAGTTGAAAGTCGCACCAGGTCGGAGGGGAAAACGCAATGGAGACGTTTCGCGACGTTCGCGTCGCGGACGAGGGGGAAGATCGGCTGGTCGCGGAGAAATGTCACAAATCGGAGCTCCTCGCGCGGCGCGGCTCGGCCGCGACTGACCGAGGACTCGCCGGAGTGCGTTCGTCGATAATATAACGCATGCGTCTGTGACTCACATCGTCGACTCACTGTCATCGTTGTCAAGGCGCGATATTCGAACGACACCCGGTATAGGAGCCCGGCGACTACGCCGATGAGTTTTCGACGCCGGCTGGGACTTCAATTGATTTTGCCGGAAGCTCGATCGATGAGAGATCGCGCGCTCGTATATTGCGTTGTGAAACGAGGAGAGAAAAAATTGTTTCGTACACCCTCGATTAGTCTGCTCTCCGTCCGTGTAATTTTCCAAGTCCGCTTCTCGCATTCGCGTTTCATCAATGCCGCAGCGAAGAGAGATGCGGCACCAATTGAAGATCAACTGCCGATCTAGGATAAGTCGCTTCGTGATTTCTCTCCGTCACTGATTCAAAGAGAGAGATCACACGCAGAAGGAGATAGAAATAATTTAACCAGAAAAGATTTGCGTATCCTCGAACGCGTTTGTTTATCGCGAACGTTTCCGCGCGTTATCTCTCGAAGGCGTCGTTAGCGATACACGCTGACCCGAAACCGACTCTGTGACTCCTGCGATAAAATCCTCCGGAACACTATCGGCTCACTGAAAACGGAGCGCACGTCCGTCAATCTCTTCACCAGTGTTCGTCGGTGTTGACGAGCGAGAACATTCGCGACAGTCTCGAATCCGCTGGTGAGTAATCCACGATCTGCTCGCGAATCGGATCCGTCATAGAGCGCGTCACGCAGATCGATTCTGTGACTAATCGATCTATTATTGTTCGGTTACGTAATTAACATATTCTCCCTCGCATAGAACAGCTCTCAGGCATGAATAGTGTATTTAAATAAGAATCTTGCTATCATCTCAACGCTGATCGCAACGATCATAACAATATAATTAACTGCGTGTCACGATTAATAACATGTTGTGAACATTATGGAAATTTAGTTCGTCTCGCGATTTTGAGATACGGTTAACATTATGAAATTCAAATTCCAAATTGTGGAATATATTTTGCATGTATAATACGCATCTACACCACTTAACCACTTAATGAAACATAAAACATCGCTTGGAGCACGCATTGATAATGATTCTGTTCCAGTTTTAAGCTTTAAATATTTCTGTCTATTACAAATACAGAAATTACTTTTTATATGAATGTCTGAAGTTAATTTAACAGTTTAGTTAATTAGATTAAATTTGATAAATTATGCTTAAATTTGATAAAGACAACAAATAATCTTAAAAATTCAAATTCAATGAAATCTTTCTCGTAGAAAACATAATGTCTATCTATTGTGAAATAACCGAGATATATCTTGGATATTTCACAATAGATAGACATCAAGAGCATGAATTTAGCTTATAAACAGCAACATTGTCGTTGCACAAATTCAAACTGTTACAACTGAAATATCTTGAAAACGAAAAATTATATAAAATCAAAGAAACGAATCAAAGTGCATTTCAAAGCTAAAAATTGATACTTTCGCATGCCATTAGTAAATTAAAAAAAAAATTTGATTCTATGATTCTACTATAACGTGAAAACTTTTAAAATTGTTATTTTTTTTGTTTCTTTGATGCTATTTTTCTCGAAATTGTAACGTGATAGTTAAATTTTGACAACGGATTTATATTTAGCGGGAAAAAATATATCGAAAATAACTATTTATACTCGTGACGAAAGAAAAAGTCAAATTTTATCGGATAATGTGTGTTATATAGGAAAAAAACTATTTTCAAATTGTACTTTGAAAATGAGAAGTCATATTGAAACAAATCAAAGTACATCTTAAAGCTAAAGATTGATACTTAATGTGCCATTATTGAAATTTGAAAAAAAAGATTTGATACCGAAATTATAACGCCATGAAAACTTTCAAAATCATCGTTTTTTTTTCCTTTTCGACGTCATTGTTCTCAAAATTGTGACGTGGTGATAGTCAAATTTAGATAGCGAATTCGTGTTTAGTGGGCAAAACTACGTCGGAAATCACTATTCATGTTATAAAATGATGTTGGACACTGTTATCAAAGAATGATACGACAACAAACTGCTAAATTAAGATTAACATGGAATAAGAATGTAGATATATATAAAGAGTGAACATATTAAGAACGTAGATAAACGTATGACTTCAAAGCTTACACGGCGTTATGAGGATTGAGCAATCGGATTTGACCGTGAGCGAAGTCACCCCGAAGCACCAGAGGTCTGCAAGCAGTGTGAAAGGATCAACGGCATCATAAAAGAAGCTGCGCTGCGCGACGTTTGCCATTCCGCGAATTATGTCTGACGAAGATCCGCTCATCAATCGCGCGAGTTTCCGGTTTCTCTTTCACAAACGATACGAATGCGTTCCTGCAAGATTCACCTCTCGCCTCGTGTTACACGCGCGCGGCGACATTAATCGTGCAGCGAGCGAAGTACGCATTGACAAATCAAGCGGGCCGGAAGCAACAGCACGGTAAAGTATGAATATCGCGATTGCAATGAGTTTAATTGACAAACGCTCAATGGAGCTTAGTGTTTAAAAGAATAAAAGGTAGCTGCATAACAAAACGTTTGTAGGGCAATTATCGATTACCGATTACCGATTAGAGCGTGAATTAATAAAAGCAAAGTCGGCGCGCCGCTTTCATGATTCAATGGTAAATTGCAATTTTCAAGATCTGTTAAAAAAAGAAAAAACAAGTTTCCGAAAAACACTTAGCGACTTGAAAATTGTAACGAATAAATAATTATCGGTTCGCGATTGGCTTATTAAAGCAACCGTCCCGGCAAACCTATCATCATCGCACAAAGGTATGTAATCCAACATAATAGGTTAATTGAACGTGATCAGCCAGATACGATATCGCATAATCACGCACGATAATGATTTGAAACTGCACCGCGTAATGAACCATAGGCTGAGGAGCGAGTTGAATTACCATGTTCATTTGTATTATACTCGTTAGAGTTGAAAGATGGCCAAGTTGTACAGAGAATACAAACGCCGCGAATAGCTAATGGCAAATTGTGGTTAACGGAAGTAATATGACTCATGGAAATTTAAACCTTGTCAATTATAACAACAATGTAACATTAGAAACACGGAACGACTAATTAGATATATTTATAATAAGTGATCCGCTAAAGACGAATTATTATAAAGTCGTTCTAGAAATATAAATAGCTATAACTAGAAATGTATAATGTAAATTGTGAAACATCACTCAGAGAGAACAATTTTGTTCAAATATTTAAAAATCTAGGTAGATCTGAAAATAATTTTGTAAAGCTATCAAAATAATTATACACGTCCAAATTATTATGTCCAAATTAGTTGCAGAGTATAAAAAATTTTTGCATTTTATCACCCTTGAGCAACTTACATAATAATTTGATAGATTGTTTAATATTAAATTATTTTCAGATCTAGGTCCAATTTTTAGATATTTTAACAAAATTGTTCTTTGCATAAAAATACAAGATGATAAAAGATCGTACTTAATAATAACTTTTTAAAATTAACGTAAGAGATTGCATATCATGTGAAGATGCATTGTAGATCGTTATCGGCGTATAGGAATAGAATCTCTTCGCTTTATAAGGAATAAAAATGCAACTCAATTAACTACACGTTTATGATATATTTTGCTAGAAATGAAATATTAAGAAATCTCTTGCTGGAATAAACAACAATAATAATAATGATATAACGGTGCGTAGTAATGTATTGTAAAACGGGAAAAGGTAGAAATTAAATTGAAAACGCTTCTGAGAGAAATGTGGTATATCGCGATATATGCGGTATTTGCCGCGTTCAATGCCCGTATTAATATTTAATTACACTCCGTTAATACATAATTACTTGTTAATTGCGAGCGTGCCGCGATACGCGTAAATTCACCCACGCGAATAGTCACGAGTAGGGATACGAATGGAGGATACGAGTTCGGCGTCTGTGCGTCTCGTATATACATCAGTTTTCACGCGTGCACTCGAAGCAGTGACCGTTGCCGCCAAGTTCCACGATAAGTTTCCCGATAGGAAATTTACAATTAATGGATACATCCGCGTCTGTGGAATGAAACCGTGAAAGTGAATATCCATCGCGAACGTCGATTAAAAGTCGATTAAAAAGAAAAAGACGACAACGAAAGTGGGATTACGAGGTAAGAGAAGCGGTAAATAAATCAAACGTTTCTCTTTATCTCGGTACATCGGATTTCAACGAGGCGCAAATAAATCAAAATCAAAAATTTAACGATCAAGATTCGCCAAAAAAAGAGTTCAAGATTTTCCGCTTTTTGCGAAAGTGTCGAGTGTCTCGAACGATCATATTCTTTCTTTCTTTCGTCGTTTTTTTTACAGCTGGCGGAACAGAAATTGCATTTAATAGGCGATTAATTTTATCGCCATTATTATCGGATTTAAGTGGAACGCTTAATACGCACTTCGAGAGATTTTATCACTTTCACAGATTCGCTAATGTAAAACTCACGGTCTTGTCTTACGCGATTCGTCGCGCTGAGCGTCGCGTCATTTTTCACGCATTTGCACGCGCGGGACCGACGCGGGAGACTCTCGAGGAAATTCTCACGAATTTCTCTCCACATCGGCACATTCACGGACAGGACGGAGCGCTTCCGCATCCGAGGAGGACGCGGGGGATAGACACGGGACGGGTTCGCGCCACGTGCCGAGTGGCATCACGGGAGATGCAGATGACGGGACGGGTTCGCGCCGCGCTCTGCAATTTCCGGCGGCCCCGCGGGGTCGTGCGCCGCTCTTTGCTCTTTCTCGCCCCGTCATCTTTCCCGTCCCGTCCCGTCCCGTCTCTCGCGTCTCTCGCCGAGCCGAGCCAGCGGCGTTCTAGAAACCTACCTACATGCCGCATCTCGCGAGCGCGAGATCTGTGCGAAAGCCGGTCGGTGCGGATTGGCACGAGTCCCGACCCAGTTCTTCCAGAGCCATTCGACCGTAATCGGAAGCGTCGTGCGCGGAATATGCGGAATATACGTATACACGGCATACGTTCACGTTCACGCCGTGCACGTGGCTGCAATAAGACCTAAGAGGTTCGTCTTCGGGAGACTTCCACGTCTCCTACTTCGGCATTTATGAAAATCTGTGCCAAGAAGATTCGCGCTTTCAAAAATGAATATCTTGTTGATGTCAATTATTACTAATTTAGCTTGTAAACTTGTATTCTAAGAAATTATTTTCCCATTAATGTTTTCTGCATTTATGAGATTTGTGCCAAGAAAACTCTCGCTTTCAAAAATAAGTTGTACAATGTCTCGTCGATTAATTATTACTTACGTTTAATTTTTTTCAATTTTATTCTAAGAAATTGTTTCTCATTAATATTTTCTCATATTTTTACTCTATCAATGTTCATCACGTGTTCATTCCGATTTTTATAATTTATTTTTATTATTAACATTTTATAATTAATGGGTAAATGCACGCCTCCAGGCAATTGTATCTTTTTACTGCCTGACTTTCTTGACTATGTTTCTACTCGTCTGGTATGACGAAGATGCCCATTAATTATAGTAATCGAGATATATGAGCGGTCGTGCGTCTTGACACAGATTGCAATCTCAAGTGCATTTAATCTTTCGCACGCGATCGCATCGATTATCATAAAATATCATTAGTTTATGCGCAGAGAGTCAGCCATCGTATAACGAAAAAGAAAGGAAAAAGCGAGAAAAATTCGCGAAGTAATCCGACTGCAAATGTATTGAAACGTAATTATAGTCAATCTCTAATTTGTTTCACTGAAATTTTTTACGAAAGAGTCTCGTGGGAGACAGTAATTATCATTCTCACGATCCCTTTTCTGCGGTACGAAAAAAAAAATTCTTTCCCCATTGTCGTTGCAAGAATCAAGTATCATTAGTTGCAAATAACGTATGTGCAATAGCTATTATATTGTGTCGTTGAACTCGCACGATTGGTTTCGAAACTGTTGCAAGGATCGAAGAGAACCATAAACTCTCTAGCGCGGTCTTGCATAAGTAAAAAGGGAAGAATATTAATTTAGCTTACTAATTAAAATAGCTCCACTTTTGTCAGCTGTAGAAAATAATCTTGATTACATTTCTTATTTCGGAAAAAAAATGAAAGAAATTTTCGGGGACCTCCTATCCTTCTGCCTATTGACTATTCTGCCTATTCGTAACCTGCCAATATTTCACAACTATAATTTGTCTGCAATTACAATACAATCTCCGTTCTCCATTCGCGATTGCGAGATCATGCCCGATCCGCTCGCGATTATGCATCGTCGCTTTTGAGGCCCTATGTAGCACAAGGTGTTCCCGCGGCGATTTATCGTTTCAAATCGAGTTCAACGATGACGGTCGAAAGAGATCGGTGAGATTCGCATTCGGATCATACGACGTTCGTCACTTTTCCGACAAATTCTGACAATGGCGGTTGAGAGTCCGAGCTCTGCTCGGTTTCGCAGCTCTGCTGTCAATTGCGGCAATTTTCTTAGCAGAGCAAACGAGGCGTGAATTCAAGGACAAAGTCTCTCAAGGACTTCATTCTCGTTATTACACATTTAGACGAATGTTGGGATGATTTTATATAACTGTTGAATAAACCTTATATATATTTTTCAACAATGATAAATGTGTGTAGTGTATCAGAATTTTCAGAATATTACACGATGGAATACCTTTATAATATTAAAGCATAATAAAGAATAATAATTGCTTATCAAAGAATCATTTAGCAATTGTCTGATCTGACAAAATTCTTTATCCGATTTGACAAATTCCAATCGCATAAAGAATTCAATCGTCTCGGGAATAAATGTAAACATAAATGCAATAATATTTCAGATATTCCAAAATGTTATTTTTAATATTGACGGCGTGTCTCCTCGCCGTGACTCACGCCGGATGTCCCATGAGGCCGACTGTGGAACAAACTTCCTCAGGCAGGACGCCGGGCGACGGGGGTTATAGAATTCTCATCAGCGGACAGACAAACGGATACGTCCCGAATGCAGTACATACAATCAGCCTGCAAGGTTGCGCATTCCTAAAAGAAAGTTCACAAAATTAATCAAATAAGACGCAAATAAAATAAAATAAAAAACATAAATGCGAAAGAAATTTCCAAGATTTTCATATGTCGACTGTGAGGTGTCACCGGCTAATCGGCTAATCGATGTAAAATTTTAGGGTCGCAAACGCATGAGAGATTACAGCAATTTACAAGATTCACGCTCACGGTGCACTCGCAGCACGCGCCAAATAATCCTTCGGCTCGCATCGGTTATTTCCAGCTGTTTCCTGATTCCTTGACTACCTTCAACGAGGACTGCATCAACACGGTCTCAGAGACAACCGATTATCCCAAGTCTGAGGTAAATAAGTAGAATTATATTTTGTATAATATTAATAATAATAACAACACGTCAATTTATCTTCTTGATAGATCCAAGTGATGTGGCGGGCGCCTCAGGCCGGCTCTGGATGCGTCATTTTCACCGCGATGATTTTGGAGAACAACGTACGATGGTACGCGGAAGACGGCGGTCTCTCCAAAACTGTTTGCGAATCAACAGGCACGGAAACTTCGAACGAGACCAGATGTTGTGCTTGCGACGAAGCGAAATATTCAGTGAGATACGAGTTCTATCGTAAAGTTTAACATTTATCGACATAAAAGATTTACATTTTCTTAAATCTCGTAAATTTTTTTTTTTTAATTTGCAATTTTGTGTATTGCGGATGGATAAATTCGGAGCGCTTTGTCATATTGTTTTTTAGCTAACTATGGAGGGCATCTGGTCGAATAGAACACATCCGAAGGACTTTCCATTTTCCGCCTGGTTGACTCATTTTAGCGACGTTATCGGTGCGTCGCATGAACCAGGCTTTTCCTTCTGGGGTAGAGATCATATCGCGACGGATGGTTTTCGGCAATTAGCCGAATGGGGTTCTGCAACGGGCGTGGAAGCAGAATTAAGAGAAAAATCCAGACAGCTTAGAACGCTTATTAAAGCCGCTGGACTTTGGTATCCGAATGTTAATACTAATACGACAACGAGCTTCAGGTAAATATCGTTCGCTTGTGAAATACATATTTATCAAAATAATGAAGTCTCTTGATGTCAATAGCTGATAGAATAAATCGCGATAAAATCTATATATATGAGACCCTATTCGATTATTTGATCCCGAAGATTATAGATTCTGATTTGGAAGTTTATTTCAGATCGAAATCTACTGCTGTATTTGAAAAGATTTTGTAGAAATTTTTATGCAAGTACCCACGGTTTTTGTTAAATATTTAAAAATTTGATCAAATATAAATTTAAAAATAATTATACACAAATTTTTCTAACAATTACATTAAATATCCTATATAATTATTTATATGATGAACAAAGTTATTTAGAAACTTCGACAAAACTGATCTTTCCAAATATATTGTAATCATAATTTTCTTCTAATCAGATATTTAAATTAAGTTAAGTTTTTAAATATTTTCTTTGAAGATGATAGAAAACTTTTTAATTATTTAAACGTTTTTCTCACATCTTAATTTTAATATTTGCTATTTTCTGAACTGTCAGTTTTTTTCTTTTCACGATTTCAGCGTAGATCGAAAACACCCTCTTCTATCAGTAGCTTCAATGTTGGGTCCATCTCCCGACTGGGTGGTAGGAGTGAGCAAATTGAATCTTTGTCAGAAGGACTGCACCTGGGCAAAAAGTATGATAATTGATCTTTATCCTTGGGACGCCGGCACCGACAACGGCATCAGTTATATGTCACCGAATTCCGAGACAAAACCACGCGAGAAGATGAGGCCGATAACGACGCTTTATCCGGAAGATCCGCGATCACCGTTTTACGATCCGTCCGGGAAACCCATGCATCCATTAGCGAGATTGTACTTAAATCGGGAGAAAATTATTCAACGCGGATGCAGCGAGGAAGTTCTGCAGCAGCAAGTAGCCGAATTGGAAGTCGCCGAAAACACCGAGGATACATCGAGACGTATGCATGCTATGTCGTTCAAACGTTATTTTTAACAGCCGATCTTTAAAAAAACAATCAGAGAAATTTAATTTTTTTTCTTTAACTCTATTGTAGCTAGATAGATATTTTAGTAAAGTCTTAACAGACGATATCGAGTTTATCCTCAAATAAGGATTACGAGCGTAATTTAGCTTTACTTTGCTCTGAATTTGAAGCGGAGTGCCAAACGACGGATTACTCGCCGTGGTCGTCGTGTTCGGTGACCTGTGGTAAAGGCTTAAGGATGCGCACGAGGTCGTACAGAATGCCGGAGAAAGCGGCTATGTTTAACTGCAATAGGCAGCTGGTCTCGAAGGAGATGTGCGTCGCGTCAATTCCAGAATGCTCGTAAGTACGTTCGTCGTTTAAGCGGGCTTTATCGTGTCTTAATGGAAATTAAGAAATTCTTAAAAGTCTATTAAAAGTCAAATCAACGCGAAAATAATAATTTACAAATATCGCACGGAAAAAAATTGTGCGTGCTGAATATTTAAAAATTTGACCAAAGACAAATCGTTCTTTCTATAATATTAGTTATAAAAGTCGCTGTAAATTTCGCCTATAAACGCGATTACGCGATATAATCGACATTTTAGGGGAGAGGAAGAGAACGACGACGACGCGATTTTGTCGCGACTCGAAAGTGAACTACCAATTTGCGAAA